AGCTTGGGGAACCCAGACCATTTGTAAGTGCAAGTTGCTGTGACATACTAAATGTTCCATAACAAAAAAGCTGACTTCTCTGTAACGCTGCTTTCTTTCTTCTTGCAGTACTGCTGTCCCTTGCGTTTTAAAAATCCTACATATGGATAGATTTTCTTTATTTTAAAAAGAAAAGTTGACTTCCTTCTGTAATTTGATTCAAATTTAATACCAAACAATATAATGTACTTGAAATTTCCTTTTTTGACTTTTATTATTCTTCAGTGTCATTACTCCCTCTACAGGTAGAAAATGTGAATGAACTACCAACCATGATTCTACCATGTTTTTGAAGTAAACCAAAAACACACATTAAAGAAAAAAGTTACTTTTCACCTTGGACAAAAGCTTATTCAACTAGAAAAGACATATTCATTGTAACTTTTGCAATAAATAGTAAATTTCCTATTGTCATTCAAGTATCCAGGTAAGTCTACCTAATATTTAATATAAGGATCATACAACTTATGAGGCTAGTTATAGAGCATAATATTTACGTAGGCAAATAACAATTATGGAATCAACAGGCTCACCTTTATCTGGGAGTCTAGGATACAGGTCAGAGTCACATGAGTAGCAGATACAGTTTAATATCAAATTTGATATAAAAATAGTGCTTTTTCTGTAACTGGTACAGCATAGTGTTTGGAAGGTCTAATGTATAAATAGGTTACAGGTGACAAGATCTAATTTCATCTCCTTCTAACCCATGGAGTGAGAGCTCATGCTTGTTCATCTTATTTATCTTTCTCTTAGCCCAGAGAATCTCCACTCTGGTAGCATGTTATAATCATTCAGGGACTTTTAAAAACTTTATGTGTGGGTCTCAACCAGAAAATAATCAGAGTGAATCCTTCCCAGTAGACTACTTTGATACTATGACTACTGTGATAAAACTCTCAGAAGAAAATACAGGGAAAAATTTCATGACATTGGATTTGGCAACAATTTCTTGAATGTGACACCAAAAGCACAGGAAATACATAGAAAAAAACAGCTCAGTTGAACTTCATCAAAATTAAAAACTTTGTGCAGCAAAGAACACTATCAAAATAGTACAAAGACAACTCATGGAATGGGGAAAAATACAGGCAAAGCATATACTAATAAGAGATTAATATCCAAAATACGCATATGTGAATATATGTTCAACATCATGAGTCATTAGGGAAATGCAAATCAAAACTACAATGACATAGCATTTCATACCCATTAGGATGGCTATTATTATAAAAACAACAAACAGAAAAACAAGTGCTAGTGAGAATGTGGAGAAACTGGAACTCTTAATAGAATTGCTGGTAGGAATGTAAAATGGTTCGGCTGTATGGTGGATCCCCAAGAAACTAAACAGGATTACTCTATGGTTCAGCAATTTTGCTTCTGGCTATATACTCAAAAGAACTGAAAGCAGGAATAGATACTGTGCACCCATGGCAGCATTATTCATATCAGCCAGAAGGTGAAAATAACCCAAAATGTCCATAGATGAATGGATAAACAAAATGTAGCATTTAGACACAATGGACTACCATTCAGCTTTAAAAAGGAAGGAAATTCTGACATGTTGAAACAGGATAAACTTCTCGGATACTACCTCAGTGAAATAAGCTAGATATAAAAGGACAAATACTGTATAATTCTACTTATTTGAGGTTCAAGGAGATAGTACAATGATGGTTGCCAGGGGCAGGTGGTAAGGGTAATGGGGAGTCAGTGTTTAATTATAGTTTCAGGTTGGGAAGATGAAGAAATTCTGAGATGGATGGTGGGAATGGTTGCAAAACAATCTGAATGTATTTAATGCCACTAAACTGTATGTTTACAAATGGTTCATTATAAGTTTCATTATGTGTATCTTACCACAATGATTAAAAAAAAAAAAAAAGCCACTCAGGCAATTCCAATTAGCAGCCAGAGCTGAGAGCCAGTGTTCCAAAGACTAAGGAAATAAGCCAAGATTGGGATAGTGTGACAAACTGACACAAGACTATGTCCACATATGCTCACTTCCACGTCACTGGTGCTCTTGCCACCTTCTCCTCAACTCCTACAATCCAAGCTTCTTCAAAGTCCAGTTTATGTCCTAGATCATCAGAGCCTTTCCTGAAGTCATTCTATGAGAAACGGAGAGCATTTAATCTCCACCTTTCTTATGAGAAGGTTGCACTGTCATCATTTATGTCCCCACTGACCAAAGCCCTAGGAAGATGATGACCTAGCATGAGTGCTGGCTACTGCAAGACAGCACTAGAAACAATACAGAGGGAAACTGCCAAACAAAAGAAATCTCTGGAGACCCAGGATGGTGAATGTGTGTGTACAGGATGAGGGGGAGTGCCTCTGGCTTGGGGCAGGAAAAAGGAAAACAAAAACTTAAAAATTCTGCTCTTGGGGTGCCTGAGTGGCTAAGTCGGTTAAGCAGCCAACTCTTGATTTCAGCTCAGGTCATGATCTCAGGGTTATGAGATTGAATCCCGTGCCAGGCTCTGTGCTCAGCAAGGAGTCTGCTTGAGATTCTCTCTCTCAAATTAGTTAATTAATTAATTAATTAATTAATTAATTAAAAGAAATTCTGCTTTTGCTGCTCTGTCCCAATCACCCTGTATTCAGTATATGCTGCCTCGTTTACAGAAACTGGGAACTCTGGTCTAGGTTCAGGAGTAAAGTTAAGGCAGTCTGAAAAAAAATTCTGCTGTGAAGAGCTGAGAGGAACAGGTGGGAACTAATTCCTTACAGTCACTGTCTTACTCTACCCTCTCCATACCAGTGAGTTGATAAATGACACTAGAAGATTAAAGAATACAGCCTTTAAATCTGCTTTTGTCCAGCTCCTCCTCAAAGGTGAGGAGTTGTGTCCTGAGATGGTGCTTGGTGATAATTAGCTGCAGTCCTGTGGTGTCTGGGTTGGCAACCCCACAGCTTACCCATTTTCAGCCTTTGAGGTTATCACTGGGGTAACATAGCCTTTTAGCAGTGATAGCCTTTTAGCAGTGGTTCTCAAACCAGGCTACACACTGGAATTACCTGGCAGCTTTAAAAAAACTGGCTAGATCAATTTCTGAGATGGGGCTTGGCTATTAAGAGTTTTTACCAGGGTTCCTGGGGACCCTAACATACAGCCAGAGTTGACATTAGTTTCTAGCCTGGCCTGTCTTCTTCTGCATTACTTGAGAATAGTCAATACACAGTAAGACAAGACATTTGAGGACCACAAGTATTTCATGGAAGAAAAACAAAATGGATTCTAAATTATATGGAAGAAAGGATAGATCAGATTAAGAACTTAAAATTCTTAAAATAATAGTAAGAGATATTATTAGAGTATAAAAGAAGAAAACAAGAAATAATAGTACAGAAATATTAAGTAAAAGAATGTAACAGTTGAACTAAAAATACAATAGATGGGATAGATAACATAACTCATATACCTGAGGAATGAACTGGTTGGAAGACCAGATCCCCCAGAAGAAAAAGGAAGAGAAAAAGCACTGGGAAATATATAGCCTGTGCTTTTGGTGTCACATTCAAGAAATTGTTGCCAAATCCAATGTCATGAAATTTTTCCCTGTATTTTCTTCTGAGAGTTTTATCATTTTAGCTGAATAGCTTCTTAAAACTACCAGTACTAGTACTCTGGTCTACTGGGAAGGATTCACTCTGATTATTTTCTGGTTGAGACCCACACATAAAGTTTTTAAAAGTCCCCGAATGATTATAACATGCTGCCAGAGTGGAGATTCTCTGGGCTAAGAGAAAGATAAATAAGATGAACAAGCATGAGCTCTCACTCCATGGGTTAGAAGGAGATGAAATTAGATCTTGTCACCTGTAACCTATTTATACATTAGACCTTCCAAACACTATGCTGTACCAGTTACAGAAAAAGCACTATTCTCCTGCTCCCTGCATTTTTATATCAAATTTGATATTAAACTGTATCTGCTACTCATGTGACTCTGACCTGTATCCTAGACTCCCAGATAAAGCTGAGCCTGTTGATTCCATAATTGTTATTTGCCCACGTAAATATTATGCTCTATAACTAGCCTCATAAGAAGTTGTATGATCCTTGGTGGGCTTACCTGGATACTTAAATGACTATATATAGTTCTATATATAGTTATAAAAGACTAACATCCACATAATGATGTCCCAGAAAAAAGAACAAAAGTGATAAGAAGTTTGGTGGAAAAAAAAAAAAAGAAATTTGGTGGAATAGGTAATGGGAGATACTTTCTCCAGAACAAGATTAAAAAGCTCAGAACGACAGGGTCAGCTCTCAGTATCAGAGAGGAGAGAAAGGAAAACTGTAGAGCTAGTTAACACTACAGTAAAATTCAAAATATAAAAAGACAAAAGATTTTTCAACAGAACGCTTCTCACACATTAGATATGTAGTGTTTATAGAAAGTAAATCAAAGAAACATGAAATAAAGACATCATTTACTCTTTATGAGCCAGTTATACCAAATACAATTCTACAAGAGACAATAATAATAAGTAAGTGTTTATGGGAAGAATGGAATAAATATACTTATTAGTCAAATATCCTACACTCCAAGACTATATTTAAACTGGCCAAATTAAGGTTTCATCTATCTGTGTATTTCTATTTAAGCTCCTCTTTTGAGGAATACCTAAAACCTCTCCTCTCAAGGTAGGTATTAGTAAAAACAGATCTTGGCTAGTTTAGGTATGTACATTTGAAATACAACACAGTTACCCTTTCAGAGCATACAATTAAAAGGGTTCTATTTTATAGCCAGGAGCTGTAAAGATAAAGTAGATGAAACAGGCATTGATTTAACTGCCAAACACCTTCAGTTTTCTAATAATAGTAAAAAAGTCAGAGACTTCTCATAAATATGTTCTCAAAGGAAGGCCTTATATCTTTTTTCTGCCCATTTTTTGTAATGGTTATGCTACAGGCTCATAGAAGTTCTTCAGTAGTGGCTTACCTGGTCAATATCAGCATTTCTTGGAAGAAAATAAACAATATTATTAGTGATCTTCTGGGAAAGCCTGAAGATTTCAAAGGTGGACAATAGTTAAGGAATGGTAACAAAAACAACATTAATTTCTGATCAGAGATATGTCATAATCCAAATGTATTTTGATATGTAACTATAAGATAACTTACATTTAGATTCTCTAATGGAACCTAAAAGAGAATTAAGTAGATTTTGTAATTCAGATGGGTCACTGAAATTAAACCTATTCATCTGATTATCCTTGTGGAAGACAGCCAAGAGCCAGAAAGACACTTTCTCTTTTTGCCATTTCCTAATTATTTGAAAATAGAACAGGAAAGCATATCACCTTTTTCCAGTAAACAATAAAGACACATAAATCTGGTTGTTGTGGCTTACATTCTAAATTTTAATTAGTAATTTAGAAACATGCTTCCTGTTAGAGTCAAACAGATGATTCCTCTGGGGAGGAGAGATAAAGAAAGGGTCAAATAATAAATGCTATTTATTCTTTATGAAAGAAGGGTTTGCTTTGGTATCTTGAAAGAGTAACAGGAAACATTTGAAGATGCAAACAGAATTAGCACAAGCCAGTGTAAGCTGAAGAAAAGATAAGGGATGGTCACCCAGAGTCTAAGGATAGGTTTTGAAGAAACTCCCAATTTTCAAGATAATAATTTCAAGCAATTAATATTTCCTAGTTCTTGTTTTATAATGATAAAATTGGATAGTAACCAAAGGAAATATGACTTCACATCTGCCATTCTTCTTGAAAATCAACTACCACTTAATTTTTACATACTGGCTCTTTATGCAAAATCAACTCGAATCTATCAAGTGCTATTAGTGAGTATCTCCCTACTTCACTAATCTCTTTCTGAAATACAGACACACAACATACACTCATTCACATGCACATCTTTCTCTCCACAACCATTGTTTGAGTAAACTCTCAGCCTTCTAAAGGATATCCATCAGGAGACATCATGGTCCTAATGTCAAAGGTCTCTGCAGTAGCATAGTCTGGTCCTCCCCAAGGGGGGCTAAGAAATACAACATCAGCCTTTAAGTGAGAAGCCAGCAGGAGGAAATCTCCACAGATGAACTCTATCTTGTCTGCTATTCCATAAACTTCTGCATTATTGCGAGCAAGATCAATCTTAACAGGATCAATATCAATGGCAATCACTAAAAGTGGGAAAAGAAAAGATGAATCAAATGACATTGATCTATAGAACAGTTCATCTTCTGAGTAGTCTGATTTTTTTTTCCTCTGTAAAAGAACTTTTTTTTTGAAGACTAAGGGAGTTTGGCACATATACCAGAGATAAAGAATTTAATTAAAATTTTTAATCTAAATTAGAAAAATTCACTTGTGTAGTACCAAGAAAATGTGACTGAAGGACCTGGCTTTCAAAGTTTGGTCATTCAGCCAGCTTTTCCAAAACCAGTAGTGACAGTTGCCATATAGTATCTATTGAGAGGTAAACATGTGCTTAGTACTGTGCTCTGAACAGCCTGAGCAGCAAACACTTGGAAAGGTTACTGACTGCATGTCAAGCTTGTAACACTAGGATTTCAGAACAGATCCATTTCCTAAAACGAGATAGAGTCCAAAGAAAAACAAATGTGACTTCTACAGAAAAGCAAATTAAAACACATTATGACAAACCCATATAGCCAGCTTATGAAGAAATGTAAAAACATCTGTTGATAATGTTTAATGAGACATCATAGGAAGAAGGAACCAACAACGATATGTTTTCATCAAATGGGCTTTCATTTAATTTATTGGAATTTCATAATTAGCAATGCAAACATATGTTAATTTTAGCTCACTCCTCTGGCAGTAAATAACTCAAATGCACCTGTATGTGCACCAGGGTACTAGTGGCAATATTTTATATTTGGAAGGTCTAAGTGGAACCCTGATGTATACACCATGGTTGTCATGGAAACAGTTTTCTAGAAAATGGCAGTTTCAAAATTTGTTAACACTTTTGAGAAATAATGCACTAAATAAATCACTTCAACAATGAATACAAGCTCCGATCACATGTTGAAATCATGCATTTACAATGCTATTTTTTCTGTTCTAAACAAGTAATATTCGTAAGAGAAAAGATGAAAATGTCCTTTTCAGCTGTTCAATCTGCTCCAATTGTAGTACAGAGACAGACGGAAAAATATGCTAACACCAAAAACTCAATGGGAAAAATGATTTTCAACATCAAATATATTCAGTCAATCTTCATGTTTTTCATCTTCATTTCTCCTAGAGGCTGCTTTGTCTTTAGGCCTAACAGAATGTAAGCACTTGGTCTATTATGTAAATGAAATGCTGACAAATGTTGGATGACATTTTATAGAACTGCATTGTCCAATAACAATAGCCGCTACCCCTATGTGGCTATTACCTTTAATTGATTAAAATGAAATAAAGAATTTAGATCCTCAGTCACATTGCCACATTTCTTTTTTTTTTTTTTTTTTTTTTAAGATTTATTTATTTGAGAGACAGCAAGCAAGCTAGCCAGCCAGGGGAGGGGCGGAGGGAGAGGAAGAGAGAATTCTCAAGCAGACTCTGGGCTGAGTGCAGAGCCTAACGCAGGGCTTGATCCCAGAACCCTGAGATCATGACCTGAACCAAAATCAAGACTTGGCCATTTAACCCACTGAGCCACCCAGACGCCTCCACACTGCCACATTTCAAATGCTCAATAGCTACATGTGGCTAGTGGCTATCACACAGGACAGTGCAGATACACAACACTGCTATCATCACAGAAAATTCTAGTGGATAGCAGTAATACTGAAGTATACAGAAAGGTATAAAATTTTTAACATTAGGGATTCCTGGATGGCTCGGTGGATGAGCACTAGCCTTTGGCTTAGGGCATGATCCTGCCAGGATCGAGTCCTACATTGGGCTCCCCACAGGGAGCCTGCTTCTCCTTCTGCCTATGTCTCTGCCTCTCTCTGTGTCTCTCATGAAAAAATAAATAAAAATATTAAAAAAAAAAAACTTTACCATCAAAGTGCAAAACTTTGTGGATTCTCTAACCATTCAGGTGAGTATACTCATAGACAACAACTACCTGAATAGAAGGAAATAAGAGGCACAACAGGATCATGTCAATTATAAACAATCCATTTTCTCATATATATGGATACATGTGGGTATTCATGTACATTCACTTAAAGAGTAACTGATCATATACATATGTGTATATATAAACATACATACGTGTGTATATATAAGCACACATACAGATAGATATACAGGCACACAATTACACTTCAAAAATTTTGAATTCCCTATGATGATGCAGTCAGCTCTATCATACTAGGTGCAGTACATATAACTAAAATTAGGACATCTGTGTGAGCTGCTGCTGCTGATTTGGGGGAACAGGTCATGGGACACCACTATACTGAACATGCTTCTGAGCTTCCCATTCCATATGCTGCAAGGACAGAAGCCAGATCCTGATACTACTAGGGAGGCGTTGTGTTTGCCTCCTTTTCCTCTCAGAGGCTGTTCATCAGTAAGCATGAGTGATTAAAAGATCCTAAGGGGCTGGGATGAAAGTTGGGGCTGGAATAACATGGCAGAGGTAGCCTTCTTTTAGCTTGAGACCCACAACAGACATTTTTCTTTACCAAATGTATACAGAGCTGCATAAAGCCTTGGCAAGGTACCTATATACAGAGAAATATAAATCTGTAATATGGATGGTTTCCATAATATTTTGAAAATATTTTCAGACCTCTTTGCTGCTTTATCAGAGGACAGATTTTTAGAATTGTCATGTTATGATACAATGTAAAATGAAAATAAATTTGACAACTTTTGAGGAAAAATCATTTTCAACCAATAAACACTGAATTGAGCTCACAGGACTGGCTTATCTGGCAAGTGCAGAGAAAAAAATTTTATGAGTAAATAATGAATTCAAGGAAAACAAGAAAATAATTCCTATTCCAGGAAAACGTGAAAACAACTTTAATTGAGGCTATTGGACCACATAAGGTGAGCAATGTCATGCCCTGGAACACGATTAAATAAGGGTCACAGTTCATTAGCATGGGTTTGGGTCTCAGAATCAATGTCAAATTCTCCTTCATCATTTTCTAGCTTCTATATTATGCTTCCAGAATCATACTTACCTAGTTAATCTTTAGAACTTTATATAAATTAGGGATCCCTGGGTGGCGCAACAGTTTGGCGCCTGCCTTTGGCCCAGGGCGCGATCCTGGAGACCCGGAATCGAATCCCACATCAGGCTCCCGGTGCATGGAGCCTGCTTCTCCCTCTGCCTGTGTCTCTACCTCTCTCTCTCTCTCTCTCTCTCTGTGACTATCATAAAAAAAAAAAAAAAGAACTTTATATAAATTAGTAAGAATTGTAACTCACTGAAATGGAAGCTACATGTGTATGTTGGGGGGAGAAAAAGCACCTTCAGAGTATGACTTAATAATTGATGTCTTTAAAATATCACATCATGCTACACTTTAAAAAGAATTTAGAAAGAACAGAGATATCAGAAAAAAGTGAGTAAAAACTCTTGGCTTCATGACTCAGTCATGATCATTTGGGCAGACCGTTCAATTTTATAAAGCTTCCTTTCCCCTGGGAAATAGCACACGTACCTACCTACTTGTCATAATTCTTAACACATATATAGTGATAGAGGTTTTCTTTTTCATGTTTCAAAAGTCAAACAACCATAAGAATGATATAATACTTAAAAGGTTTTTGGAGTCTTATAATGTTCAAGCTGAAAGGGATTACAGAGGATATGTCAATTTAAGGTTTCCTTTAAATTGAGGTTAAATGATGTCCAAAGTCATAAAGGTAGCAAAGCTGGAATTCCCTGTCCACTCTTCTTCTAAAGAATGGTTTTCCTTTTTAATATTTATAGTTTTATATAATGTTATAATCTTCACTTTGCCGAGCTGTGTCTGTGTAATTCTGGATAAGTTATTTCATCTCCTTATTTCCGACTTTATCTGTGAAATGCAGACAGTAAAAGATACACCTCACAAGATAACTGACTAATAAATTAATACATATTAAGCACTTACACTAGTACGTGATACAAAGCATATGCTTAATATATGCTAGTTATTATTATTTTAAATATTTGGCATCACATTACTAATTATGTATTAAATCTCAGCAAAGATAGGCTGAAGCAAAATGAAGCATTTATTGAAACTGAAAATAAATTACTTTTCTTCCTTTGACGGCATATTACCTCTCTTTCCGGTTAAGGCAAACTGAATAGTATTTCCTCCAACTCCACAGAAAGCATCTACTACAATGTCACACTTGAAGGACTGGCTGACCCGGCCAGCAATATGTTCAGCAATCTTCTCAGGGGTAACTGAAAACCAGCCCTCTGTGAAGGGAAGAGTATTTCTGTTAAGATGTTTAGTTTCAAGAAGCCAGTCCAAGCATAAACATAGCAAATATTATTATCTACACAAGCAAAACTTAGCTTCTCTTCTCAAAAAATTATAGATTATTTTTGTTTTTTAAAGATTTATTTATTTATTTGACAGAGAGAGAGAATGTGCATATGAACAGCGGAGGGGCAGAGGGAGAGGGAGAAGTAGACTCTCCTCTGAGCAAGGAGCTTGATGTAGGGCTTGATCCCAGGACCCTGAGATTATGACCTGAGCCGAAGGCAGATGCCCAGCCAACCAACCCACCCAGGTGCCCCTAATTGACTTAGTTTTAAAAAAAAGTTCCACAAAACTTGTTATAAAAAGGAGCAGTACCATTTCCCTTCCCAATTTCCACAGAAGCAAGTGCCTTAATTCTTGCCTGATGCTTTTGTAATATACTTTCCAATAACTGAATTTTAGTTTTTCTGTTTGAAGTATTAACTACTGACTATTATGAACGATGGAAAGTTAGCTATTCAACTGGCCAACTCCCCAAACTCCACCGAGTTTCCTGTTTCATTTCTAACAGAGAAGCATTGAACCAGATTTGTACTCAACACTTTGGAAATATTTGTACATTTCCAAAGGGTCAGGAAATAAAAGGAGCTGATAGCAACAGGTTGCAAAATTTTAAGAACAGCAGAACTCTCTTCATTTTCAGAAATGGGGTCCTAAACCTACTCCAAAAGAATGAGGGTACTAACCTCCTTTCCCAATAGAGAAGAAATTAACATTTTTTTCAGAAAGATATTTCTCTGAATAAAATGATACACCAATTTTCTTGTTCTCTTTCCTTACCAAAAATCTAAATGGCTCCTCACTGCTGGAAGAATAAAAAAATAAACTCCTTTTATAGAATTAAAAAGCTTTTATCCAGTCTTATTTCTTAAACTGCCATGTGCTTTCTCCAATGTGCAATATTTTATAATTATGAGAGGTTCAAAGAACCTAAAATTCTAACCCCAGATCAAGCTTCCTGATTTTGATAGTTAATAAAGATTAACATTTAAGTAGCCCCAATATGAAAATAAGCATCAACTTGCAGAATTGAGAAGGTGTTCAAGACATAGTAGGAACACTCAACAGAAGAACTCAGTTTCCAGTGTTAATTCATCAAATTATATCTTTCTACGCTAGATATTACATCATCAGATATTCTGCTTAACAATCTATTGTTCTCCGGGTGCCTGGGTGGCTCAGTGGTTGAGCATCTACCTGTGGCTCAGGTAGTGATTCTAGGGTCCTGGGGTGGAGTCCCATTTCAGGCTCCCCATAGGGAGCCTACTTATCTCTCTGCTTATGTCTCTGCCTCTGTCTAACAAATAAATAAATGAAATCTTAAAAAAAAAAAAACAAAAACCCAAATCCAACAACAATCTATTGATTCCCTTTGCTACCTATCGTAAAATATAGATTAAGTATAGTTAAGCCTGAATATGAAATTTTAAAAACATATATATCTAAATTGAGAGACACTGTAGAAAATAACTGGTCACTCATCTTTGGACAACATCAAAGTCATAAAAGACAAAAAGACTGAGGAACTATTCCAGACAAAAGGAAACTAAAAAATCATGAAAACTAAACGTAACATGTGATCCTATACTGGAAGAAAAAAAATGCCATAAGGGACATGATTAGGTTAACATTAAACTAGGATCTGGACTGCAAATGGTAGTATTGTAGCAATGTTAAATTTATAATTTTACCATTGTTGCATAAGTATCCTTGTTCTTAGAAAATACACACATAAGTACTAAGAGGTAGAAGCAATTGGACCAGAAACACATAGAGAATGGTAAGGCAAATGTGGCAAAATGTTAGAACAGTTGAATCTGGTAAAGGGCATTATGAATTTCTTTTTTTACTATTCCTGCCACTTTTCTGTAAGTCTGAACTTATTTCAAAATAGTGTTAAGCATTATATATATATTTTACCTCTGTCCAGTTTAATCCCATCATCAAAGCGGGAGAAGAGCCTGTATCTCTGGGCCCAGTATTTTGCCAGCTCAGGAACAGCAGCTATCTCAGGAGGCAGACCAATTACCTTTTTGCTCTTGTTTTTTTTCTTCTTCTTTTTCTTTTTACTTTCAGCTAAAATAAAAGAATATAAATACGCAGATGCCCAGTATGAAAAAAGACAATCAAAGATGAATTTATGTAAAAAGTATAGCCACATTCAGTATTTATAATTAGGGAATGTACTGCAGACCATGCATTCAACAGCATCCCAGGAGAAGCAGGAGGGCATACTGTGCGTAGCATGGACTTTGGATTACAGCCTCTATTTTGCTATTTATAAGCTCTCTGAGCTTGGAACAGTAACCCAGGCTCTCTAAGATCTAATTTTTAATTCCTCAAAAGGAATGAATGATAGTATTTTACCTATTTACTTCACAGGATTGTAAAGGGAAATACGTAGAGATACTACATAGGTATAAAAGTTATTACATTTGTTAGATAAGACACTGTTTTAGTCGGTCAAATGTGGAAGCCCAAACATTTCTCTTCCCTTCTTTAAAATAAAACCTCTTAAGGACTGATTAAGCTCCTAACTTTCAGCTTGGTCAGTCCTCTGAATCCAGATATTACCTGAAGGTCATATGGCTTCTGGGAAATTAAGACAGGTCACTGCTTTAAGGTTAATAGGAAAGGATCTCATTCATTCAGAGACTGACTTTTTCTTAGACAATTTTTATTAATTTGGTAATTTGGTTTAAATTCTGAGCAGATTAGAAATAGCAATTTAGAAAGAGTGCTGTCACAGCTAAGTAAAATGACAAGAACTGATGCTGACAAATAAAATTACCACCAATCCTCAAGGACAGGACTAGATCTTGTTATGGTCATCTGATCATTGCAAACAGCAGAACTGTCATCAATAGCGAAGTAAGTAGTAAGAGTCTTTTAGGAGAGGGGATACTAACATTTTGAGTGAACAAATCCTTACTGCGCAAGATCATCCTTGCAAGACCATACGACATAACATTAAGCAACCCAGTGTACACTAAGTGCCAGGACCCCTAGATCATTCTAACAGCCAATATCTTCCAAATGCCTCTGGTGAGGAACCACCAGCATTATGAGGCAAGGTAATTAGGGGAGGACAGGAAAATGGGATGGAGGATTCAGACAACCTGGTTTTGAGTCCTAGCTATGCCACCCACTGGCACTGTGACTGCAGGTGAGTTTCTTAGTTTCTCTGAGTTTACTGTGTGTATTTTTAGGATGTGGATAATCCTGCCTACCTCACTGGGTTATTTTTTAGCTTAAATGAAAATAAGGCATATGAAGGCATTTTAGAAGTCTGCAGGTGCCACATGAACATCAGCTGTACGTGACAATAAAAAAATGTAAACTACCTTATGTATGCTTTTTAGAAAGGCAAAGAAGTATATGATACAAAGAACTCAGCTCTCTCTACACACACATACACACACAGAAAAAAATTAAGATTCAAATGAGGTATTTTCCTCAATACTAAATTAAGAAAGAGACCATCACAATATAATTGTTTCATTAGATTAAGTCTGAAATCATTCATCGATAAAAATGAATACATGTCAAATGAAAATTTCTACCTCATAAAAGCTTCAATGTTCCAGTGAATACAATTATAAATTAAAAAAGAACATTTGCTGTAGAATACATTCAAACAGTACACAAAAGGGCATAAAGTGAAAATGCGACTCCATTCTCCATTCATTTCAAGCAACTACTACAAATACCTTATGTCAGGGTGTCATCCAAATAACAAACTACTACTACCAACAACCATTACCATAAAATACAAAATATATAAATAAGCAAATAAATTAATCAAAAAGGAAACCAGGGAAAAACCAAATTTCAAGAGGGATACAAGGGACTTCCAGCTAGCTACCTTTAGCCCAGGGAAGAGGGCAGCAGCAGAGACCAATCTTAATGGCATAGACAGAGGTACTCAGTTTTCCCACATGCCTGGCCTTTTATTTTATCATGCTTGCTCAGCCAAAAGTATAGTGTTCTGTGCCAAATCATAGCTACTAGCACATTTACACTTACTGTGCCCTCTCTCTAAGAAATAAACAGCAGTGAATCCTTAAGTGTAGAGATGATTCAGAACTGAAAACTAGGGAAGCACACTATCTAAATTCATCAGCAGGTTGAAGCATATTTAGTCTTACCTTCAGTTTCTACCTGAAGAGAGTCTGGGGTAATCTGAGTAATACCATCTTCCTTATCTGTAATAATTACTATCGTGCTGTCTCCTTCATTTTTTTCTGTTTCAAGTTCACCAGCTGAAGACGTGGCATTACACTTTTCAGGTTCTGGATTATTTGTCTCCAGTGGGTCATCACCTTCTTTAACAGACATTTCTGGTTCTTCTGAATCACTGCTTGTGCACGTGTCTTGTACATTGTCATGAGAAACGGACTCCTGCGATGCTTCCTCATCCCTTGGTTCATTAATCCATTTTAGGAATTTTTCTACCTGAAATTAAGTTGTCACAGGCTTGAATTCATTCCAAATTATACCTGCTTTACCATTTGGATCTCAATGAGAAAATGTTCTAATTATTAACTCTGATAAGTATACTATATTATACAAGCTAATTATACAGAATTCTGAGCTAACTGCACTTTAGTATCTGGACATACCATGACCTTATTAAAGATTTCTTTAAAAGGAAGAAAACATCAGATTAAACATATAACGATGACTTTCCTGTAATCAATGAACACTAAGAGGATAAAGCTGAACTGTTCCAGTAGCTTTCCACAAAGGCTTCTAACAATATAACATGATATTATTATTACAAATGTACCTACTTATTGAGTCACTAATATTAGCTTTACAAATTATACAGACCTTTCTTCAATGGCCCAGGCTATGATAAATTGTACTCCCTGCACCAAAGATAAACTCTAAAAAGATTAAGTGCCCATCTCTCTGTAAGAAAAAGAACAGTGCTAATCTTAGAAAGAATGCAAGCTAACCTTTAATGGAGCAGTAGAGTCAGTACAATGATTTCTAAAAACTGGGTTTCTCAGTAATGTTAACAAGGTGTTAACAGATGATATGTACTTCCTTGCAAACTTCTATAACAAGAGTATTTTTCATAACAGATCTTCATGATCTTCCCATGAGTTAGGAAATTGGAAGATGAGCACAGGCAACAATCCAGAATCTTCAAAGGGGCTATGCCTAAAAACAAAGGGGCTATGCCTAAAGACTGGTTGGTCTGATATTGGGAAATGTGTTCCAGATATAACCTGGGCCGCTAAAATATTAGAATATTATCATTGACCAACCAATCCAAAATATAACACAAATAAATCCAGCTATAAATATGTAGCAGGTTTTGGAGGAATGCTGACGTTGGGAAAGATAATGTATCCTAAAGGTAAAACAAGGTCGTCGCCAGGTCTGGAGGTTTTTGTTTTGTTGCTCAAAGGTGCTGTTAGAAAAGTAACTGACACAAAGGTTCTGCTCATTAAAAAGTATTTTTTTTCTCCTATAATGGAGAATTATCACTCATCAACCAAAAATAATTCTAATTACTTTTGTTTTTCAAGTGCATGGACAGCAGGCAACAGCAGAGTCCCAGAGAGGGGCATGAATATTCCAGTTAGCAGTGTATTCACTAAATTAGCATGAAACTATTAGGATGAACTGGTTAGTGCAATGTTTGATTGATGACCTCAAAATTAAGGCTTACAATTAATGCTGGACCAGAAACTGACTTCCAGGATCCTACTTAAGCCTGAAGCAGATGAGAAATTCTCACTGTTACTATGTGTATAGGAGGCAATTTTACCTATTTATCTTCCCAGACACTGATACTTTGTAGCTTTCAAAACATCCCCTCTTCATATTATTACCAACTTATTCTTTTTCGAATTTGGTTCACATGATATATGCCTTTAGGAAGCAAGGGGAAGAGAATTTTAGGTACTTTTATATCTGGTAGAAATAGGATTTTTACTTGAAAAAAAATTTTTTTTAAAGATTTTATTTATTCACGAGAGACAAACAGAGAGAGAGAGAGAGAGAGGCAGAGACACAGGCAGAAGGAGAAGCAGGCTCTATGCAGAGAGCCTGACGTGGGACTTGATCCCAGGTCTCCAGGATCACACCCTGGGCTGAAGGCGGTGCAAAACCACTAAGCCACCCAGGCTGCACTTGAAAAAAATTTTAAGGAGTCAAGCTTACAAAATAAATTCTATCTGTAAATATACAACAAAATTTAAACCTACCTTAGTCAGAGTTTTGCTTTTTTTGAATGTTTTTTCTGACTCTTCAGTAAAGAAAATGTGTTTGTTTTTCATATTTATTTGTCTTCTCATGTCCAGGAACTTTGACTTATACTTTACATTCTTCTGTAGGTATCTGACCCGCCGATGACTGAAATTTGAAATTCCACCGTATCTGTGGCCAAACCAAAGGAAGTTGACTCAAACCTTAAGTTCTATGAGTTTGTTTTCTTACATGAAAAGAATAAAAATGACAATTTTCACTATTTTTCTACTAGCAGCCACCATATTAACTTCATTTTTCTAAATTACAAAAGTTAGAAATAAAGTTTGAATGCAGAGGAGTTTAAGGTCTTGGTTACATGCTCATTTTCAACTAAATGTGAAATGCTGGTTGAGGATATCAAATACCTTATCTGTAACAGAAAGCATATACCACGTAGTAAAACGTAGTAAAGAAATTGCAGAAAAATATGACCCCACTGCACATGAGGGAAATATTATCTTTTCTCATGGTGAGATGATACCAACTGCAACGGCCTTTAAGTACCATAAAGGAGAGATAACTGATAGTTTAAAAAATATTCATAATATTATGAGCATGTATTTCTGAACTAATAATTTGGATTCAATTTATTTTATTATCATTATTTTTAAAATATTTTATTTATTTATTCATGAGAGACACACACACAGAGAGAGAGGCAGAGACACAGGCAGAGGGAGAAGCAGGCTCCATGCAGGGAGCCCGACGCGGGACTCGATCCTGGGTCTCCAGGATCATGCCCTGGGCTGAAGGCAGATGCTCAACCGCTGGGCCACCAGGAGTCCCTGGATTCAATTTCTAAGTCAATTTTTAGATCTATATCCTTTTCTTGCTGCCTTCATATTATGTAGGTATCAGTTAAGATTTCATAACTAACAAAGTCTCACCCCTTAGAAACATCAAAGACCATAATATTTGTTTAAATCACTGGTACAAGCTGACACAGATGGTAGGTCTTTAATGAGCCTTAACTATTCAGTTCAGTCTTCATGGTATATGCAATAAACCCTTCAATATACTTGTACTTAATGCTTGGGCATTTAATCCTAGAGAAAACTTATACTTTCTGTATACAAACATTCGCAGCAGCTTTATTTGTCCTGGCAAAATACCACACGCAATACAAATGATCTTGAATAGATGAATGGTTAAACAAACTATGATACTCCCATACAGTGGAATACTATTCAGCAGTAAGTAGGAATGAAACATTGGTAAACATAATAACTTGTGGGGAACCCCAAAGGCATATGCCTAGATCTTAGGAACAACCTAGAGGTACATACAGGGTAAGTCACACACAAGGATTAGATAAATAAGCATGTACTGATAAATCAGGATGTTCATGGTACATTGTTAAGGGGAAAAAAGCAAGCTGCAAAACAAGTATAATATGATTCTATTTTTGTGTTTTTATGAAAAGGGAGTAACCGTTTTATATGTAATCATAAAAACACACAAGTAAATTAGGAAGGATATATGCCAAACATTGCCTACTTCTGAGGAGTGCTTTGAAAGATTTTTACTCTTTCTTCTGTTTTGAGTTTTAATGTTTTCATAATAATAAAAAAAAGGCTACTTCAGATTTGAACTTTTCATGACATGCTTGCTATACATGTCAGACATATACAGAGGTAGATACATGAGATGTAAGGTGAAAAAGAGAACCACACTTAGAAGTCTCAAGAGCTTGGCTTGAATCCTTGATATGATCCTAAGTCACAAGCTCTGTGGGCTGCAGTTGCTTTATTCATGAAATTTTAATAATGATACTGGATTGCTATGAAGTGCAACTGAGTTAATAATACATGTGAATATATCAAATGTGTGGTAATCTCTCTGTAAGAGAGGTTAATGTTTTAACTGTAACATCTCAAATGGTATCAATTCTATAACCATCATTAGCTACTGAATATCAGAGAACTTGAAAACAGCTGAAGTGTTAAAATTTCAGACAATAGTATTTATGTTGTATTTATGTATAATTACTTTTGTCCTGAGCCATGCTTGAATCCCAGAAGGGAACCATTGTCATCAAAGTCTGAATCTGGGTTTTCATCAATGTCCAGTTCGTGGCTAAACAAATAAACAAAAGGTAAACAGTGATAAGCCATTATGTCCAGAGCCCACCAGTTCAGGTAAGTATCAAAAAGATACATAGTCAACCTACACACACTTTCCTATTACAACAATCAACCACAGCTCACAAATCCAGAAAGAAAGGAAAGAATAGTTTACTCAGATTTTCCAGTTACCCAGGAGTGTCTGGAACACAGCAACAGGCACTCAAATCCTAATTATCTCTATTCTTGAACACGGTACAGACATAGATCTCTCTGACACAGATCTCTCCATTCGCCTTTGGAAAAATACCTGTAAAAGCTGTAGCCTTAAACTAATCTCCTAGAGGGCTTTTAGAAGTCTTCCTTAAAAACGGCGAAACATTTGAGAAGTATCAAGCCAACCAAAAAAATTACAAAAAAAAAAAAAATATATTAAGAAGAATAAGGTTGTGATACAAGTGATAAGTAACCCATGATCACTGATCTATTGGGGATGCCTTCCTGACCCCTATTACTTTGTGACAGTACCAAGTAAGAAAAAATGGTAAGAAATAATTTCTACAAATTAAGGCCACTGAACATTTACAGTGGACCTATTAGGTTCCGGAAATGTGAATACACCACCCATAGTCTCTGCCTCTGGGAACTAAAGGTGGAATTAACAAGCATTGTATACTATGTGGAAGGAACACAATGGAGGCATGCTTTTATGTATATACTAAGTTACTGAGCCTCTAAAGCTTGTAGATAGTTTTTCTAGAAGCTGTACGGAACATAAAAGTCTTAAGTGGAACATTTCATATCCTGTCAAAGAAATAAAATGTTTTTAGCTAACATCTAAGTTCTATAATATCCATCCTTTCTTTGTATTTTATGGAATTAGCATCTGACCATATCCTATCTATATTACTTGCCACTTGTTTAATTTTACATATCAACAGTATACTAGCACTGCTTCCAGAAGGGTCGGTCTGGGTGTTAGACCTGGAGCTGCCACTGTTTTGCTATATAACTCTGGGCAAGGCACTTATGCTCATTTTGTCTTAATACTACTATCTATAGATTAAGAGCATTTGATTACATACTTCTGAGGTCTATTTTAGCAGTAAAATTCTGTGATAATATACGTGCATGCAGACTTTTGGGAAAAAAAATAGAACTTCCTTGAGACAAACCATATCTACCAATACAGTTAAAAACTGTCATCCATTAATATCTACTGTCAGATATAATTACATGCTAGCTCTTGTCTTCCCAATGAGCTCATTAAAAAAGCATCAGTTCCATTCTAGAAATGAGAAACTGGCAGAGTAAGAGTTGGGATTTGCAGGTGTTCCAAGGCCCAGGTCTCGCTAATACATCTGTTTTCTCCTCACAGGATTAAACGTACTGTAATATAACAAGTGCTTCACAGCCACTCCCTCATGGACACAAGTGCTTATGCTACCGCACTGTGGAGAGAGAGGTAATATGCAACTTGCCTCCTCTTGAGTTTGCTTGGCTTCCGTTCAGGTGGATCTTCTTCACTCTCATCTCCATCAATACTGTTGGGGTGTAGTCTTTCTTTGATTGTGTTTGCTTCTGAAAAGTCCTGTGAATCTAAAGAGGCAGAGATATTGCAGTGGATTTTCCCTTTCGGTTGACAACTCTTCTGCCTTTTGCAAAGGCTATCAAAATATTTTTGTCACTTTCCTGCAATGAACTTACACGCATATCAGGCACAGTGCCAGATCACATCTACCTATTTTGTCTATCTCCATGTAGACTCTGAGCATAAAAAAACGGTAGTTATGTCTATCAAAGTTTAAAAGTTTCTATTATTTAACTATTTAAAAAGGAATCTAAAACTTTTTCTTCATAGCTACCCAAACAAATCTACACAAATTAATCCACAGTTTTGTGATAGCTAAACAGTTACCACATTTTGATGGAACTTTAATTTTAGAGGGAGGGGGCAGCCCCGGTGGCGCAGTGGTTTGGTGCCGCCTGCAGCCTGGGGTGTGATCCTGGAGACCCGGGATCAAGTCCCACATCTGGCTCCCTGCGTGGAGCCTGCTTCTCCCTCTGTCTGTGTCTCTGCCCCTCTCTCTCTGTGTCTATGAATTAATAAATAAAATCTTTAAAAAAAATAATTTTAGAGGGAGGGAAAGGGGGGGAAGAGAGAGAGTCTCAAATAGACTCTGCTGAGCACAGAGCCCAACTCAGGGCTCAATTTCATGACCCTCAGATCATGTCCTGAGCTGAAATCAAGAGTCAGACGCTTATCTGAGTGAGTGACTTAGGCATTCTACTTTTTGATGGATTTTAACTTAAATCATGCTGAAGATAGCATAATACATTAAAAATGATTTCTCCTTATTAAGAAGCAAATAAATTACCTCTAATATAGCTCTTAAATCAAAAGTAACAGTAGGGTAAACACCACCATTTTAAAAGAATATTTTTAACTTGTGGGAGCTCCAACTGAGGCACCTGTTTTTCTTCAGACTGGCATGAAGCCAGTAAGTGGGACTGGCAATGAAGAACTATCTGCAGTGTAGATATAGTGGGAAGTTTTAAGTGTGTGGGCATAGACTATTCCAGGAGAGTACCCAACCATTAATAGTAGAAAGCATACTTACATAGAAATGTGCTATATACCTTGTGTAATTTTTTTTTTAAGATTTATTTATTTGAGAGAAAGACAGTGTGCCCATGGGGGATGCGGGGCGGAGGAAGAGGGAGAGGGAGAAGCAGACTGCCCCCTGAGCAGGGAGCCCAACTCAGGGTTCAATCCCAGGACCCTGGATCATGATCTGAACCGAAGGGATATGTTTAACTAATTGGGCCACCCAGATGCCCCTATACCTTGTGTTTTGATCTCAAGGCAGGATCTAAAACAAATCAAAACCTAGATTCCCAGACTGATCCTGATGACACTCACTGGGACCTAATTAAAGAAATGGCCAATCTATACATGTTAGTTAGGTAATAGGCAACAGAAGGTACAAACTATGAGGTTTACTATGTTTGACAAAGGCAAAAAATAGGAAGATAAGGAAAGATAATTAAAGGAACAACATGAAGGAATAAGAACAGGAGCCGATACATTGGCCAATACCCATATTTCAAGTTTTATGGTCAAAATCAGCATAGAAAGTAATCAAGAAAGTATACAATATCAAAAGACTAATATAAAATAATCACATTATTAAAAAAATATGATAATAACATCAAAATAGAAAGGAATGAGAATACCTAAGTAAGCTCCATTGGAAAAGCACAGAGACAAAAGGAATTAAAAAGTAGAGCAATTTACTAACTCTCTAAAGGAACCTCTCAGCTGGATGAAGATCAGCAATCTGAGAAGCAAAGCAAAACCAATTGTTAAATAAAAGGCCAAAAGCTTTTGCTTCATATAGGAATGAGGCTGAGAAGAAAGTCCTATATTATAAATATATTTTTCTTAACAACAAACATCAAGAATGCCAGGAAGACATTCTTAGTGACCTTCAGGAAATTCAGAAATAAAAAAAAATTTTCTCTCGTTTTCCTAGTGCCATCAGTTAGAATTCTTGTCCCCAGCAAAAGCATTCTTACCAACCTCTGACTTTTCTTAACACGCGGCTCACTGGCTTTCTTTAGTCCTTTCTTTAGTTCTTTAGACACCAGTTTCCATGATAGGTTTTGTTTTGCTTTGTTTTAAATCACTTAGGCTGGAGTCATTCAAGCTCCTTATCCTGGATATTTTATAAGAATCCTGAAGTCAATCCTTCCAATTATAAATTAATAACATGCCCTGTTGAGATTCCCTACAGAGCAAGACTTCCATTTGTTTTGAAATAAATTCCAGATATGACTTACAATCAGATTTGCCTGATGTCCATTGTGTACTCTGAACCATTCTCTAATATGGCTCTTATAAATTCATTTGCTCCAAGCAACTTTAGAAGTTCCACACTCCCTCTATATTAAATTTCTCGAGGGAGTTTCAAGTTTTAATTCACTGGCCATCAGCGTACAAGTGGAAGGAACAAGACATTTTTTTTTTTAAGATTTTATTTATTTTATTCATGAGAGACAGAGACAGAGAGAGAGAGAGAGAGAGAGAGAGAGAGAGAGAGAAAGGCAGAGGGAGAAGCAGGCTTCCCGCGAGGAGCCTGATATGGGACTTGATCCCAGGACCCTGGGATCACACCCTGAGCCTGAGGCAGACGCTCAACCACTGAGCCACCCAGGTATCCCAGGACAAGATTTTTGAGAACCCTAAGCAAATATTCTTATTATTTATATGAAAGGGTAATAAACAACTTGTGATATATGCATTAAATCATATTATACCATAAAATGTAGTTGGCATTGTGCAACCCTACCATTAAGGATAATGTAGGTTAATTTTCCTGTTATTTGGTAGGATAAATCTTGGGCTATCTTACCCAGGTTTGTGCTTCTGTTCCCAGACGAGTTGCTGTCCTTGGTTCCTCTATTGCATGGTTCACTCTGGCCAGAGGCAGGGCATTCTCTGCTGCTGCTGACTTCACTTAGCCACTGATGTCCATCACAATTTACTGAAGAATCTAACTGGCTCTGTTCCACTTCCTCTGAATTCAGACTTATATGACTAATTCCACCAAGGATTTCGTTATGCTCTTTATCACTGGAACTAGAGCTTTCACTATCAATCGTAACAGATGGAGATGGAAAGGACATTAAGTCTGCCTTCACGCAATTTTCATCTTTCTCACTGTCAACTTCTATCTTAGAGCCACAAGTATCTGTTTCATAGGTTTGTGAGACATCAAAAGTCCAACCCTGAGCTTCCCAATACTGAAACTGTTCCAAATAATACCAATAAAGTTGACTATAATGTTGCTCCCATTCCTCCTTTGTATCAGGAATGTTCCAAGGTTCAGAACATAGTGTCTGACCTGAATGTTTTTCTTGCCAGCTTTGCCATAATAGTCCTCCACCATATTCATTCCAATACTTTTCCCACCTCTCTGTAATTTCTAGCTTTGGAGATAATGTATTTTCAACAGGAAGATTTTCAGTTTCAATGTCTTCTTTGGTTTTAAGTTTACATGTTTTGGTACTCTCATACTGTCCAACTGAAGATGGATCGTCTGAAGCCAGTATGTCATCTTCTTCATAATCTTGTCTCCAAGATTCTCTCATAATTTCATCTAAGTACTTCTTCTGGTGTTTTTTCTTTTTCTTTTTTATTTTAACTTTATTTCTAGTATTCATAGACACCTACATAAGATAAAAAACTACAATGTAAAATGTACCTCATAAACTGTAAAAGAAAGCAGAATCAAAGTCTATTTTAAACATTAAATTAAATAATATATCGTCAAATCCCCATCCTGGGTTTTTAGTTACACAAACAAGTTAAATCTTACTATTTATGTTTCCAGGAGGAAAAAATCACAAATGGACATACATCAAAACTTATACTTTTGATTAATTTATAAATATGTACATTTGAAAAGAGGTGGAATGCTCTAATTTATGAATATATTAGACAGGATAAAAAAATTCTTTGTGGTATTTTATGAAGTAAATGAAGAAACAAATATAAGTAACATACTTACCTCAAAATTCTTATGTGCAGATATCCCACCAAACTGAAGTGGTAGCCCCATACTTTTCATGAGTTCAGCTTCAGAATCAAGTTCATTTTCATCTAGGCCTAAGCCTTTGCTGTCATGTGACTCTGCAGTACCACCTTCCTCCTCTTCTGTAGCGTGGTCTCCTACAGACAGGATTTGTTAGCTTCATTTTAGAGAAAATGTAGATGCCAGTTTTTTCATCCTCATTTTGTTTTATTTTTTATTTTTATCTATTTATTTGCACATGCGAGAAAGCAGAGAGCAAGCACAAATGTACCTGAGCAGGGGGAGTGGCAAAGGAAGAGGGAGATAGGCAGACTCCCCCCTGAGCAGGGAGTTCAAGTCAAGACTTCATCCCAGGATCCTGAGATCATGACCTGAGCCAAAATCAAGAGCCAATTGCTCAACCAACTGAGTCACCCAGGCCCCTCATCCTCATTTTAAAAGAGGAACCTGAGAGCTATGTAAATGTTATGATTTTTAAGGGGTGATATAGACTAGTAAAAAAAAGCCAATTAAGAATCAAGAGATAACTTCTAGTCTGCCTCTGCCTGCCACCAGCTACCCATTCAACTTATACTTATTGAGCACCTCCTCTGTGCTATGCACTGTGCAAAGTACTGAGGATATAAGAGGGAACATGGCAGAAAAACCACAGGGAAAACTTATTTTTACATTCCTTATATGCAGTATTACTAAAATAGATCAGTGAATTTAAAACGATGATTTGTGGAGTTATTTTAGGAGCTAGTAATAAGAGAGGTGAAAGGTATGTCCTTAGGCCCTTCATGGGTATTTCAATCTTCAATCACAACTGGGATTTATATTCTGTGACTCTGTGTGAAAGATGATTTAATGAAAGGGTTCTGCTACTAAAAGTCTGAGATCCACTGAGCTAGAAGATCCTTTCAAATCCCCGATTCTCCCAGAAAACCTGTTTTATTACAATAAAATAAGTTTAGCTTTATACTAATAGTTATATAATAATAATATCAGACCAGTAAATGGAAAATGCCATTCAAATGTTCCATTTACCATTTAAATATGTGAGAAAAATATTACTTTATACATTAGCATTCAGTTAGGGATGAGCTGCACTCCAGCTAAATGATCATAGGCAATAGAATGGTGAATCTTACAAAGCAAAAATGGACACTAAAGAAGAGACATCCTCTGTGTATAAATTCTACTAAAACAAAGAGGGGAAAAAAAGATATCTATCTAAATAATAAAGAGGATTCCACTCACCATTTCTTTCAGTGGACTTATTAAAGTACAGGAGAACAGAAAAAACAAATGTGCTAAGTTTTATGTTCCTTTCCTGGTATGCAAATTTTATGTTCAGCAGGAGCCCTGGTGTCTAAAAGAAACCTTATTTGTACATTACATTGAAATACAAACCAAATACTTCATTCAGTGATCAACTGAAGAAACTATGATTTGTTCCATCATTGCAAGAACTAAAGGATTTTTAAAGGTAACATGACACGCTTTACTTGTACTGACTTGAGCCTAGAACTCTTGCTAGTTTTCCCTTTATCTAGATAAACAAAAAAGATCCGTGTGGAAGGAACAAATGGGGTCATAGAGGGAAGTCTGAGAGAGAGAGTAAGACAGTTTTCAGGTAACTAGATGAAACTCAAAGTACCTAACAAATTCTATTTGTTACTTGGAAAAGTTAACCTAGATGGTGGCTTCTTTCCTTCAGGCAGAAGACTATGGATGTTCACTTGGCATTTATCTTGAATAACTTATCCATACAATTCTTAAGGTATCTAAACAAGGAGGTCATTAGACTGAGGTAGCTTGAAGGCCTTTGTTGTCTATGAAAGAAAACCAAAAACCTAAGCCAGAATCAAAGCACTCAAATCTAAGAAAATAACACTTAAAAACAACTAATCACAAACAGCCAACTAGGCTTCCCCAAATGAGGCCACTGGTTAAGTCACAGCCAATCAGTAATTTCCTTGCTTTGTTTCTACATCTTCTCTATAAAAGCCTCTTTCCTAACTCCTGTCCAAAGTGGTGCTCCTATGCAGGGAGCTGGCACCGCCAGAGCTGCATATGTAAGCTCAAATACACTCTTGAAAATTTTAATGTGCTTCTGCTTATCTTTCAACACAATAAAATTCTGCTGAAAAAAAAAAAACATATGTTCTCTACTTTTCAAAGCTTCAAATTTCAGCTTGCCTTATCTAATGGCAACAACTCAAGAAGGAATGCTACTAAAAAAAAAAAAAAAGAAGGAATGCTACTTATAGCAAAAGAGGCTACCTCAAGTCCATGTACGAACTAGCTACAGAAAAAAAAAAGATGTGCTTTGATAGGGATTTTAGAGCCATGTTATAAAAAAAGGTAAGGACTATGATTGTAACAAATTATATTTAAAATCAATGCATTATAACAGTTACTTTGAGCAAAAGAAGGGCCATATCATTTTATACTGTATTACCTGCATTGTCACCATTGCCTTTGACATAGTAGCCTTTTAATCCCAAATTGCACAATTTTCGATCTCTGCAAAGCAAATTAAAAGTCAATACTGAAATAAATTAAATTATAAACTTGAGAAAAAAGCAAGTTCAAGGCAGCATAGATTAATTAAAAAGGTTAAGGAAGAGAAAAGCAATCTGCTAATACATTTCCCTCATCTGTAATATACAGGAAACAATAATACATATCTTGTGAAATTATTATAAGAATAGTACATGTAAAATATTTAAAATATATCACATGGGAAGCATTTATAACTATTGATTATTAAAATTAAATGGTAGTTCTAGTATGGGTAAAGAATTGATCTTATAATACATGAACAATGAAGTGTTCTCTAAATTTGCTGCAAGAAGTGAGCATAAAAGTGGAAAGATTTATCTTACATACATATAAATCCACACGCAGACCCTACCCCATTTGCAAATAGGCCAAGGTATCATTACCATTGCCTAGTAGACAGATATTCATGGTCTAAGCAAAAGTTGTTTTGGGGACTAACCCCAAAGAAGTTATTTAAATATTTTATCAAACTGAAACATAAAACAATTCAGCCTCAACAATTTTAGATTTTATCTATGTATCTATCCATCTAGGGTAAGCTCTAAGCCTAACATGGGGCTCAAATTCATGACCCCAAGGTCAAGAGTCGCATGCTCCACCAAATGAGCCAGCCAGCAATCTCAACAGTTTTTCTTTACATACTTACTTCTAAATTTTTTCTCTATCTGCTAGATTGGAAATTACTTAACCCAAATAAACTTAGCAGAACACTTAAAAAAAAGAAGAAAAGGAACACCTGAGTGGCTCAGTGGTTGAGCGTCTGCCTTTGGCTCAGGGCGTGATTCGGGAGTCCCAGGATTGAGTCCTGCATCGGGCTCTCTGCATGGAGCCTGCTTCTCCTCCCTCCTCCTATGTCTCTGACTCTCTCTCTCTGTCTCTTATGAATAAATAAATAAAATCTTTAAAAAAAGGAGAAAATTTTGCTATTATCTTCCTCCTATTAAATTCAGCTGTAATAAACTCCATCAGAAGTGCCATAAGGCCATCTTCAAGTATTAGCTAATTTTTCTAATGGAACCACGATAAGTTGAACACAATAAAATTCTTGTACACTTGATATATTTCACTATCCTCCTGTTTATTTTTTGATACTTTATAAAACATAAAGTAGGTAATGACTCATATAGCAGGGCAGCAAACAGGCCAGCAGATGAAATGCAAACATGCTTTGGCAGCATGCCCACTGCCTTCAAGAACAGTAGACAATGGAGAGGGGGTTGAGGTGGTGCGGGAGACCAGCAGCTGCACAGAGGACATCAAGGGTGTGTCCACCAGCACCCAAGCATACAGGGCACCAAGTGTCAGGTGCAGGAAAAAACTAATCCGGTTGCAAGATTGGTTAAAATAAGTGAAGCAAAGGTACTGAGGATAATGACAGCCAAGATTTTCCACACACATACATGTATTTATGTATGTATGCAAAATACATCCTGACTGACTGTGTCTGCTGAGAGTGTAGAGCAATGAACATAATGAGCACTCCGGTCTTGGTTTCTGAACACTACACTTTGCTAAAAGGAACCAAGGTTCCTTGGAGAAACAGCAGCTCCAGGTTGAAGCACAGAGGGTAAAAAATAAGCCTGGTCACCTTCTGTGCCAGACAATTAGGAGAAGGTCAAAGAATGCCAGAGACACATCAAAATGATACACAAACCACCTCAAGGAGCCCCCACCAGCTAAAACTGAGACAGTATCAACATCAAAATAAATGAGAGTAATAAGATAGAACTTTAATAAACAATCCAGAGTCCATGTTAACAGAGTCCATGTAAATAAAGGAATAAACAAATACATGGGGAGAAAAGAGAAAGTACTTCATACAGAATGCCAACTAATAAAAGCAGAATGACAGAGATAGAGAATTATCCTTTGGCAACCTTCAGAGGCAGCTGGTTCAGGCAGGAACAGGATATTGGTAATGCTGGAGTACTTTCTCCCAAAATACTAATACACACAAGGGGAACCACTGACTTTATAGCAGGGATAGCTATGAGACTGAAACATGATTAGGTAACAGAGGTCAATGTCACCAGTGGTGGAATGGGTCCATAGAAAGTGACTGAAGTGATGCAGGACCAAGCACAGGATCACTTCTGTGACATTCCTGCCAAGAAGGCATGGCTTGCCCTGTTTCTGTTGAAATGTCAGGCAGACCCAAGTTAAGAAAGGTCAGCACAGAAGTAAGGTCTGCATTTTTTAAAATGCTGAGGTCTTGATAGGGAGGGAACGAGTGAGGAATTTTTCAAAAGGAGGAGATTGACAAGTTGTAAGGAAACATAAAAGGAACATAAACATAAAAGGATCAGAAGGAAATGAGAAACACTGCTGGGAAAGCTGGGGAAATCCACCACCGTGGATATGAAAGAGAATACACTTATTTTAGGGAAAAATACAATGGTGTTTAGGAGTGATCGGGAATCGTGTGCCACTTGCTCTCAAATGGTTCAGAAAAAGACTAAAGATTGTGTTGGGAGGCACAAGCGTGTGTCTGTGTGTATGCAGAGGGAGAGATGAAGCAAATGCAGTTAATTGTTAACACTAGGTGAATCTGGGAGAGGAGACTATGGGAGTTCTTTGACCTGTTTCCGGATTTTTGTTTTTAAGTTTGAACCCATTCTTTACTCTTCTTCTGGCTTATTTTTGCAAGCGTGAAATTATTTTAAAATGAGTTACTTAAAAAAAATAATAATGATAGCCTGTTATTTATAGCACAACAACTTCATAACAAAAACCTACTACTCTACCATTTCAGGATTTTCCTATGTTCTGTTCTAGGCTTCGTACATAACAAAATTTTACATAACTATAATAATAGTGTAGATATTTTATATTCAGATCTTAATTAACACAAGGTATTTTTTCGTGTTACTACTGAGCCATTATAAAGATTATTTTTAAGAGCTCCATTACGTTGTAATTATATGTTTTCTTCATACGTATAATGTATGGCAACCTGAATGTGCAGATGAAATAGAATGACTCTACAGCTCATAAGACTAAGGATGTTAATATAACGTCCTTAGGTAATAAAAATTAGTTATGATATTAGGTTTTATTTCCTGTCTTTGAGGAGAGGTGTACAATAACCTTACTTAGTGTGATAGTCAACTGAATACTGAGAAGGAATTAGGCACCTATGCTAATCCTCATTTTTTGTTTTTTCTGTTACATGGACTATTTTTTCCGTTTAATAATCTATTCTAGAATTTTGCTAACAACTGATCTGTTGTTTTAAGACTGTGAAAGAGACCTTTTCCCTACCAGGTAAGGTTATACAAATAAGCCTGTGAACTTCCAGCATGTCTCCAAGTCCCAAAGACTTCTCAGTGACTATTAGAAATAATTCCAAGATCACATTCTTTTTGTTCTAAAGGGTTATAATTTGGGCATTAAATGATCTAAAGTTAAAAGCCATTCTTTTTCTCTTTACCTATTTTGAATTCAGAATGTAGCTTCTAAAAGTAAGTCGGGCTTCTAAGTCTTAAGAATGCATAAGAAATTATCTGAAATTTAAAAGATGAACCTTTTAGTTCAAAAAGACTAAATTCAGGGGCACCTGGGTGGCTCAGTGGTTGAGCGTCTGCCTCCAGCTCAGGTCATGATCCCCGGGGTCCTGGGATAGAGACCCACGTTAGGCTCCCAACAGGGAGCCTGCTTCTCCCTCTGCCTGTGTCTCTGCCTCCCTCTGTGTGTCTCTTAGGAATAAAAAAAATAAAATCTTAAAAAAAAAAAAAGACTAAATTCAAAGTAATTGGTGATTTGCATGGCAATTAAAGTGTGTTTTAAATAAAGGTGCTTTAATTAAAACCTAGTATTATTGTTCTGCAGGAGTCCAGCAAGACAATTTTGTCTCAACTTTTTTACAGTTTATAACTTAGGTTCCCTCTCCTTCTTTTTGGAAAGGAGGCTTCCTCAAGACCATCCCCAGACTCAACCCAGCTTCAGGCTAAGAAGTAAGTGTGTGGCCTTGGCTTTCTTTTTCTTTTCCTTTTACACAGAGTTCTGCCCGTCACTCCCTCCCACTCAACTATACCCCAGTTTATTCCCACTCTTTAGACATCTTTTCAAATGCTACTTCCTCAAAGAAATCTGTGATCCGTGGAGAAACGTTAGGTTTTTGCTATCATATATATAGATGCACTTCTCTCTTATAGCACTTCACGACAGTACTTAGCTAAATATTTGTGTAACACTTGTCTTAGTATTGGCCTCCTTTGCTAGAAAGTAAACTCAAAGGGTGTAGGGAGGGCTGTGTCCTGCACCGGGGTGCCTACCAGTGTACCTTATACAAGGAAGCACAAGAGACATTTGTGGAATGAATATATGCGTGTATATATATACAAAGACGACAATACTTTTTAAAGACAGCGTTTAATTTCCCTTTGGATTAATTTTCCGATTACTCCACAAAGCACGACCAACAGCAAGAATGTTGTCTTCTCACTTAAATTCTACCACGGTGACGTATATTAAAAGTCTAGCACACAAAATTCGCTTCCACAAGTTGAATCTCACCATCAGCCTGTGTGATAACTGGGGCCGATATACCCGTTTTAGGGATGAAATAAAGATCCAAGCGGCTAAACTTACACACCTAAGACAAAGAAAGCCTCCCTGGAGTCCAACTCTTGAGTCCGTTTTTTTCCTATTCCCCGGCCCTCTTCCATGCAGGGCAATTTTTTTTACCTCAAACACATATTTTCCGAAAACATAGCTCCAAAACCGATGTAATTATAATGAAGTCTTTTATCTCGGGTAATTAGAGGTTCTTTTTAAGCGCATTTGCACTTTACTAAGACTCAAGGCCTTAAAAAAAATGTCAACCTACAAGTCACCTTAAAGCCTTCAACCTGTGACGTCACACCCACTAAGATTTCATCTTACATTTCATTCGCCTGATTTTAAGATGTCCCCCCCAACCCCCCCGCAATAAAGCGGAATAAGCCAGCTACCACGTTTCCCCACAGCAGCCCACCGCAGACGTGCTCTTTCACTTAGCGGCAATGGGCGACCTCTCCATGAGGTCCGGGGACTTTTCCTGAAGCATCACCCTGTCCAAATCTTACACTCGGGGCGGGGATCCCGATTCCGAGTCGTTTGCAAGGCCTACGCTTCTGGGAAACAACTGTGCCAGGAATGAAGGGGAATAGGCTTGGACTTACTCCACAAACGCCCTGGAGCAGAGGCAAAGGATCCGAGCATCCTCCTCCAGGTCCTCGACGAAGAGAAACATCTCGGCCACGCGGCTCCACTTCTCGCAGCACATTTTACCTCAGTGCAGGAAGCCCTGCGGGGAGCAGCCCGGCACCGGCCGTCCGGACCTCCGCTCCGCTCCTGGAGGCCCCAAGGGGGTCTGGCCGGCGCGCCCGAGGGGATGTCAGGGTTGAGGAACCCGCCCCGGTCCGCTCGAGCCTGGAGGGCGCCGAGAAGCCGCCGCCGGAAGTGGCTCCGGGCGCCCGCCGGAAGGGGCGGGGCGAAGGCGGTGTCACACTCTACGCCGTCCGGGCTGCAGCCGTGGTTCGTCTTGTTCTTCACCGGTTGCTCGGCGGGGAAGCCGGCTGCTGAAATTTCTCCTCTTGCCTGGGTCGCTGAGCCACCGAAGAGCTCCCGCCGCTGCTCGAGGGTGAGAGCGAGCCGCGTCTTCTGCCCTCCCCGCTCCCTCGCCCCCGAGGTGCGTCGGTCCTCATCTCGGCCTCCCCGCGCTCCTCCCCGCCGGGCGCACGTCGCTCAGTGGCGCGGGGCTCGGAACGCCCAGGCCGCGCTCCGGGTTCCGGGGGGGTGGGGGCGGGGGCGGGCAGCCCAGTCCCCGGAGTCCCCCGCGGGACCCGGGGCGGGCGGGCCGGGCTTCCCGGTGCTCGGGGTAAGGCCGGGCGGTGGGGTGGCGGGGTGGCGGGGAGGGCTGGTTATGCCTGGGTCACAACGAGCCCGTTCACCCCGCCGCGCATCCCCCCCCCCCCCCCGCGCCCCAGAACCCTGCCTGGTCTCGGCTTGGGCGGCGGGGCAGGGTTGTCGCGACGTCGGCAGGGGCCTCGGGGCTGGCCCGGCGACCTTCTTCCCGGATCCGAGTCGAGCCCCGCGGTGATGACGGGCGTGTGTACTCGGGAGGCAGCGGACATGGGTGGTTAAGGCGGCTTCCAGACGCGCCAGGCTTGGAGTGCGGGTGTGATGCTCCTTCGCTACCTGTGGGATCCGGGCCAGCGACCGAGCCCTTCTGAGCCTCGGTGATCGTCTGGAGAACGGGGACGTTGACTGGCACCTGCTTCCTGGGGCTGCTGGAAGGACCAGATGAAGCTGTGTCCAGCAGAGCTCTCGTGCACCGTGACTGGTGTTGGGGGCCAGCTGCTCTGTAAGCTCCCGGCGGTCTTCAGCCTCAAAACAGGGCCCTGCCCGCAGCTGCTGATAGCAGGGTGGGGAGAATGCAAGTGCACGTAGCCAGGGAGTCGGGAGCTGGACCTCCCCGCTGGGTGTGGAAAAGGCAGTTAGGGCTTGGTGTGGTGGTCCTGGAGACGGTCCGGGCAGGGTGGTTGGAGCATTTAGGACTTGGTTGTGCTCTTAATGCCGGAACGGCACTGTTACTTCGTTAAAATGTATAAAAACTGAGTTAAAATCCGGATATTTAAGACAGCCCCAACTATTTTGGTCGCGTTTACTATCGAATGGAAACGGAAGATGGATTTTCAAGTGAAATGTTTATTTCCACATCCTTACTGCTGCTGCCTCGCTTTAGTGTCTGAGATCGGCTCCTTTTAGTGACTCCGGGTTAGAGCGGTGCACAATTAACAACAAATACACCAGTGTACATGTGCAGCCTTTGGGGTTTGAGGATAGGTTAAGAGAAAAGGTAGAATAGTAATTGTCAGAGGGGAAGATTTTAGCTAGAAGTTGGAGGACGTTCTGGGGTTCAAAAAAAAAGCCACCAAACCTTGAAAAGTAGTTCGTAATAGAACCTAGCGTTTGAAGCTTGAAATCTACAAGGTACTGTTTTATTTTTTTATTTTTATTTTTTTTTTAGTTTTTATTTATTTATGATAGAGAGAGAGAGAGAGAGAGAGAGAGAGAGAGAGAGAGAGGCGCAGAGACACAGGCAGAGGGAGAAGCAGGCTCCATGCACCGGGAGCCCGACGTGGGATTCGATCCCGGGTCTCCAGGATCGCGCCCTGGGCCAAAGGCAGGCGCCAAACCGCTGCGCCACCCAGGGATCCCCAAGGTACTGTTTTAAAGATAAAATAATTAGGTTTCCCGAATATATTTATTTAACTTATATTGGATAAACTCCAGTTTTACTTTTGGTTTGAGGTAGAATGCTCACTCATTAGAATCGAATCCTAAATCCTCGTAAAAACAATTCTTAAAAATGCAGAAAGGAAAAGGGAAAATGAATTTTATTTCAGTGAGTATTTAGTTTAACTGGCATGTTCAATATATCTTCGATGTGGCCTGTATACTAAAAGTAAGAAATGGATCTGCTGCCATTCATGGTGCTAAAAGTCCTGATAATGGGTTTTTAAAATAGATTTATTTCCTGAAGGTTTTCTAGGAAACAAAAATCCTCTGTTCTGATTTATTAGTTTTTGAAATACTCTTATTTTAAAATGTATAAAGTCAATTACAGTAAGTGTTTCTCACCGTCAATATCAACATAGTGATATTTTCTTTATATGTGCTGCACAGACAGTGTTTAGTTGTAGATAGGAAACGACCTGGAATTTGGGTGATTAAAATATTGTATCTTAAAAAAATAAAATAAAATAAAATATTGTATCTTCCCTAAAACATCTTTTAACAATTATAGTTTTTTTAAAATAAATACTTTTATTTATTTATTTATTTATTCATGAGAGACACACAGAGGGGGAGAGAGAGAGAGAGAGAGAGAGAGAGAGGGGCAGAGACACAGGCAGAGGGAGAAGCCGGCTCCATGCAGGGAGCCTGATGTGGGACTCGATCCCGGGACTCCAGGACCATGTCCTGGGCTGAAGGCAGACGCTAAACCACTGAGCCACCCAGGCATCCCAACAATTATAGTTTTTAATTGAATTCAAGTAAATTAGTAAGGAGTCAAATAATAGCATATGATAAATTGGAGGGGGGGGAAAGGGCTGGGCAGAAGTAGAAGGAAGACAGAGATTGCAATCTTAATATTTTCAGCCTTTTCATAAAAGAGAGAAATAGAGAGAAATATTAAAGAAGTTACAATGAAAACCAGAGTCGAAGTGGGAGAATTGGGTTTTAATTTTGGTCCTTGGTTCTTCACTGAATTAATTTAGTATCTTTGGGCAAGTCAGCTTGGCTTTCTCTTTTTAACTGGTTTCTGCAAAATTAAGAAGTTGCATTCATTAAATTCTAAAGCCCTGTTCACATATTATCAAAAGTAAGTATTTTATCAACTCAGAAGCTTGTTATTCAGACTCTTCAGTTCTTTAGTGGCACGTTTTAGGGCACTATCTTGGTCTACATTTTTTGTCAGAGATTTGAATGAACACAGTTGAGGTTTATCTTTATTTAGCTGGTATTTGTCAGGTGACTACTATGTGTCAGGCATATTATTCTAAGTCCTTTACATATATTTTCTCATATGATTTTGTTTACTGATGTATCCTCTAGTGTTTAGAATAGTTATCAAGGGCAAACTATTTGGTTAATAAATATATGTTGAGTAAATGAATTAATAACCCAGTGATGTAAGTCTTGTCTGAGCCTCCCCTTTCCCTTTCTTCAACACTGTATTCTATCTCCTCTGGCCTAGTCAAGGACTGGTTCCAACAGTTATTCCTCTCCCGTATCGTCTATTTCTTACTCTCCTGTAATACGCATTACCATTGGTATTAAAGACTGCTATATTTTCTTTCATCTTAAAACAGCAACAAACTTGACCCACATTCCTGTCTAGATAGTTACTACTTCTCTGTTCCTTTTTGCATCAGCATTCCTTTGAAGAATTGTCCATATTTGCTATTTCTAATTCATTTCCTCTTACTTTTTCATGAATTTACTCCACCTGTCTTTCATTCCCCACTGTATCAAAATAGTTTTTAATTATCAGGGTTTGTTAGTGTCTCTGTGTTGTAAAAGCCAGTGATCAATGATCATTTCTTAGACGTCTCTGCATCATTTGAAACAGCTGAATAACTCATTTCTTCTTGAACCCTCTCTTTGACATGCAGGTTTCCACTCCCAGAAGGAGAATACTGGTTCCTCTTTGTTTTCTCAATGTCTAAAATGTTGAGTCCCTTGATGCTCAATCCTGGGGACTCTTTCATTGTATATTTCCTCCCTAAAAGTATCTTTTTTTAGTTTCAAGGTTTTCATGCAATCTGTATATTGCCAGTTCCCAAATCTGTTTCTCCAACCCTGATCTTCCTGCTAATCTCCTGACCAGCTGCCTGTTGAAGGTCTTCACTTGGATGTCTGTAAGAATCTTAACATGTTCAAAACAGAATTCCTGATCTCCATCCTGCTCCCCAAATCTGTTCATAGTGTACCTCCATCTTTTCACAAGCAAGCTAATAATGATGACCATGACAGCAGTACTTACTTAGTGTTTATAAAGTGGAGAGTACTCTTCTTTTTTTTTTTTTTAACATATATCCTTCACTACAGTCTTACTAGATAAGTACTGTTATTATCCCCAATTCACAGATGGAGAAACTGAGGCAGATGTGATAAGTAAATTGCCTTGGTCACACAGTTAAGTGGCAGAGTTTCCTGGAATATAAACCCACTTTGCCAAAAAACCATGTAGGCCTCCCAGACTTCTCTCACTCACTCTCATTCTGTACCTATTCATCAGCTATTCCTGTTGGCTTTATCTTCATGGTATATCCAGAAATTGATCATCTCTTACAGACCTTCACTCTGTCGCCCTTGTCTGAGCCACTTTATCACTCATTTCAATTATTGCCTTAACTTCCTATTTATTTGTCCCCTGTGCAGTGTATTCTCAGCACAGCGGTCATTTAAACTCCCAAGTGAGGCAGTCTCAATCTTCTGGTGCCTTCATCTCACTTAAGATAAAAGCAGGCTTATAAAGTTCTACAGTGCGACCCCTCTGCCCATTTCTGATTGCTCTCCCTATCACTCTTCTTCAGCCTGCTTCCTTGCCACTCCTCAGACCACATTACGTACACATCCTTTGTATTTCTCTTCCAAATACCCACATGGTTTGCATCCTCACTTCCTCAAGTCTCTGCTCAAATGCTTTCAGAGAGTCCTTCCCAGGCTACTGTATATCACATAGCAACCCCCACTCCTACCCTCTTGCCTGCTGTAGACCTCCATTCTTACCCTGCTGTAGATTTTTCTCCATAGCACCTACCATCACGTAATGTAGTATATGTACTATTATATGCCAGTTTTATAGATCTTAGCAAGTTGAGGCACAGTTGGATTACTGTATATGCTCCTCTCAGTATCAAACAACTGGAGTCAGTCCTGGAGACTGACCTGAGTGGTAAAAGGTTATGAAATTAGGGTCTGAGGAGGTGTTGAAAGAATTAAGGATTCTGACCAGAGAATGGGTTTTTGCAGCTCGTCATAGCTGTGCTGAAACTTAAGAGTTTGTCTAATGGAAGAGGTTCAATGGTATAGAACTAGGTCCAGTAGGGAAGTTACAGTGAGGTAAGTATATGGAAGATCTTTTTAGTAGTTTGATGGATAGTTTTGAAGATGGAATCAGACACCTTTTGATTTTTTTCTGTTCTGGAAGGGTTTAAATCAAAATCGAGGTTGACAGTTTAGAGGAGTTTCTTGCTTGCAGCACTGGGCCACTGTTCAGGGACTACTTCTGAAGATGGCCCTGTAAACTCTCTCACGGGATGCCTGCCAATGCACTGTCCCTCTTCACTGTACTGTGTGTGTACTGTTTGTTTGATAAATCAGAATGTAATTGAGGATAAGTATAGTTCTGGTACCAGTTTGAGCGAGGGGGTACTAAAGAAGGTTTTAAAACCATAAGATACTATGATCCTATTAAAATCAGAAATGAGGTTAGAGTATTGGGGCAATTGTATTAAGCAATAAGGTTAGATCATCAAAACAATTGGTTTTTAGGCCTAGGAAAAGCTTCTTCTAACATATTTGAGAGGCTATCATAAATTTTAATTTATTTTTTAATTTATTAACAGTATTAAAATCTCTTTTTCTGTTGAGTTGTAATTCACCATAGCATTGACCATTTTAAAATGTATAACTTCAAGGTTGTATAACCATCACTAGTATCTAATTCTGGAACCTTTTCATTATTCCCAAAAGACACCTCTGTTTCCATTAGCAGTCACTTGTCATTGCCCCCGGCAGCCACTTACCTTTTTGTTTCTATTCATTAGCCTATTCTGGATATTTCATATAAGTGGAATCATACAGAACGTGGCCTTTAGTGCCTGATTTTTTTTATCTAGTATGTTTTCAAGATTCATGCCTATTGTAGCATGAACCAGTACCTCTTTCCTTTTTATGGCTGAATAATACTCTGTTGGAGGGGTGGAGCACATTTAGTTTATCTGTTTTTCAGTTGATGGACATTTGTGTTGTTTTCACTTTTTGGTCATTAGGAGTAATTTTGCTATCAACATTCATATAGGAATTTTTGTGTGAATACATGCTTTTAGTTTTCTGGGATATATACCTAGGACTAGAATTGTTCAGTCATAAGGTAGGTTTAGCTTTTCAAGAAACTGCCAAATGGATTTCCACAGTGGTTGCACATTTTACATTCCCACCAGCAATGTATGAAGATTCTAATTTTTCCACATCCTCATCAACACTTATTTTCCATTTTTGTGATTCCAGCTATCCTAGTGGGGGGAGCTCTCATTTTAAAAGTAACACATTTTGGTATGTTCATGTTGCCTTCTAAATGATCAAACCCTGATACATTATAAGGGTTCAAGTCTTTAGATGGTCTAATGAGCATATGATGTAATTAAAGCCTGTATCATTGTATGGTGACAGATGTCAGCTACACTTGTGGTGAGCACAGCATAACATACAGAATTGTCAAATCACTGTGTTGCACACCTGAAATGAATGTGGCATTGTGTGTCACTAATACTTCAGTAAAAAAAATAAGCCAGATTGTGAGCTTAATGTGTGTTGTGCTTTCCTTATGTTACCATAGCAGGCCTATATTTCTCAAAAGTAAATGCTCTTGGTTACAAGGGAATTAAATTAGACTAAATCTTCCATCCCTGGAGGAGTAAGTCAAAATGTATTCCCTGTTAATAAGTCAATCAGCAAGATAATCTTGGCATAAAGACAATGTGTAACTGCTCTTGTATATCTGTCTCTCCCTCTCCCTCCATTCCTTTCTTTATTTACTCATTTCCTGTCTCATCTACAGAGGGTTTGAGATGATTTTTGTAAAGTTACATAGTATGAAGTAATGACAAATATCTCTTAAGAATAGAATCAGAACCAGAAAAAATAGGAATGAAGGAAAGAAATCTTGTGTAAAAGATCACGATAAGAGCTAGTATAATTTTTTTTAAAGATTTTATTTATTTATTTATTAATAGAGACACAGAGAATGAGAAGCAGAGACACAGGCAGAGGGAGAAGCAGGCTCCATCCAGAGAGCCCGATGTGGGACTCGATCCAGGGTCTCCAGGATCACTCCCTGGGCTGCAGGCAGCGCTAAACCGCTGCGCCACCGGGGCTGCCCAGAGCTAGTGTAATTATGTATCATAAATCTTATTTGATATTAGCTTATTATCTGGAAAAGTTACTAAAAAGAGACATGATCAGTTATACATTTTACCTTCATACTTTTTCTCCAAAGAAGTAAAGTTTTTTTATAGCTCTGAATTTAGAAAAAAGTCTTAAGTGGGGCTTTATATAATGGAAGTAAACAGTGTTATAGAGCTATCTGCACTAAAGCATTGGTAACATGAGGCTAATTTTTAACTGTAATGCACTAGTGTGGGGCTAGGGCCATAACATTTGTCACACATTTATGAAATATTTATTTTATGGAACTATTAACTTGAGATAATAACAATTATTTTTTAAATCATATTTTTCTTCCATTTGTATACTTTGTTTTCCAGAATACTTACACTGAAGCTTGGGACAAGATATTTACCTAATTTCTGGTAAGTTAAGTGGCTAGTTTAGAGATAAGTGACATAAAGGGATGAAAGGGGAAAGGAGAGAAAATGAGTAGGAAAAATCAGAGAGGGTGACAGAACATGAGAGACTCCTAACTCTGGGAAACGAACAAGGGGGTGTGGAAGGGGAGGTGCATGGGGGGATAGGGTAACTGGGTGACAGGCACTGAGGAGGGCACTTGATGGGATGAGCACTGGGTGTTATACTATGTTGGCAAACCGAACACCAATAAAAAAATATACAAAAAAAAAGAGATAAGTGACATAAAATAATTGTATAGGTATCTTTTCAGTCGTTGAACACTTAGAAATTTTAGTGACTAAGATAAAAATGATACTGATAAAATTTTATTATTGCAGAATGTCAAAAGAATATTTTTTTGTAAACCTGCTTATAAAAGACAGTACCCAAAAATATATGTCATCATTTCCTAAAGAATTTGTTTACTTTTATTAAATCAAATATTAATGCTTTCTTTTGTGAAGAACAGTTATCTCAACATAACCTAGTTTAAGATACATTCAGTATGGTCCACTTAAGATGTAACTCAAATGATTAAGATCAATCCAAAATTTCATTCTTCATCAGGTTTATTTTCCTTTCTCAATTATAGCTTGTGAGTTATTTCAAAAGCTAAACCTGACATACTTTATGAGCATGCAAATTAAACCTTATAATTTTCACATTGAAGTCTGTAACAAAGTTAACCAAGTTAACTATTAACAATCTACTCATTTTTCATATTAAGAAATGATTCTATGTAATATTAATGTAGACTAAAACATTTTTTTCAGCTGTGAGGAGAATAACATTGGATTATATTTCCCTTCTAGTGGCCAAGTTAAAGACCTACCATGACAATGAAGAAAGAGACTGAATTTGTCATTTTCACCTAAAGAAAAATGATAGACAAAAATCAAACCTGTGGTACGGGACAGGATTCTATGCCCTATATGACTTGTCTGATTCACATACTTGAAGAATGGTTTGGTGTGGAGCAGTTGGAGGACTATTTGAATTTTGCAAACTATCTCCTTTGGGTTTTTACACCACTAATACTTTTAATACTTCCTTACTTTACTATTTTTCTTCTCTATCTTACTATTATTTTCTTACACATTTATAAGAGGAAGAATGTATTGAAAGAAGCCTACTCTCATAATTTATGGGATGGCGCAAGGAAGACGGTGGCAACTCTTTGGGATGGACATGCAGCAGTTTGGCATGGTAAGCAAGATTACTTTGTGGTCTGTGTGTGGCTGTTCATGAGTGTGGCACTGAAACTGTATCATTATCCCATTTTATTGATCGATACTGAAAAATATAGGGGATATTTACTGTTTCCTTTTATCTCTTTGCATACATTGTGTATATATAAATATGTCTTTCTTAACATGAGTTTTTCCAAGCATATTAGTTTCCATTAAACAACCATACAACAGGCTATTTCTATAACCTAAAATATTAAAATTTGTATGTAAGCTATCTAAAAGACTAAGAAACTAATTAAAGCTGTATAGAAACCTATTTCAAAAATGCTTTAGTTATTTAGAACTTAATTCCATTTTGTTCAAAATAAGTTTGACTTTCCTGTGTAGAGATTTTTAGGAAAATGAGTATTAACTGATAATATTAAATATAATTAAAATGAGTATTAACTGATAATATTAAATATAATTAGTATACCAAAATCTACCCATTTCCTGTTTGATTCATTTCAGAGGTCATATGTCTCTTGAATAAATGAATAGCAACAAGTTTCTCTCCAGGATATTCATTCTTTATCATTTGAGAGATTGTGGTGTTCTACATTTAATGATTGGCGGTCTTTGTTTGGCTATTAAAACAAAAATTGCCCTCTTGTATAGCCTTTTATCAAGGACTTGGTGTTTTTCTTTACCAATTTTTGTCTTATTTGTTGGTCATTTTTGTGTTAGGACTATAAAAAAAAATACAGAAAATTCGATAGGTGGGTAACAAAGGTGTACTTTCTATTTCATTTTGAGCATCAGAGTGGTTTCAGAAGGAAGCACAGATTTTGAAATAGATACCAGAGGTTACATATCAGGAAGTATAAGGCTGCTAATAGCAAAAGTCACCAGTAACATGCTTATTAGGCCAGTGTGTCATCATTTTAATACTACATGCATTCTTTTTTTTTTTTTGAAGAGTATTTATTTATTCATGAGAGAAACAGAAAGAGAGGCAGAGACATAGGCATAGGGAGAAGCAGGCTCCCTGCGAGGAGCCCGATGCAGGACTCCATCCCAGGACCCCAGGATCACGACCTGAGCCAAAGGCAGACGCTCAGCCACTGAGCCACCCAGGTGCCCCTTCCACATGCGTTTCTTATAAGTCTTTTTTGAGCACTTATTATGTTATACACTGTTGAATGCTTACCATACATTCTTTTAGAACTTATGATAGATTCTACATATTGTCCCCATTTTACAGTTTTCCTGTGAGGAAGTTGAAGTATGTCCTAGGTTTGGGAATTCAGGGTCAAAAGTAGTGGTATTCAGCAGGTTTGCAAACAGGAGCCATATGCCTTTGATGTGTTGAATTTTGAATATTACTCATTAATGTTAATGCTCTTGACAGTCTTTATACATGGTTGTTTTACGTGAGATAAGATGATACTTCAGCATATTGTGTGTGTGCATCTGAGAGACTGCATCTATGTAGACTGCTGTTGGTTCATTGTCTACAGTGACACAAAACTACAGGGGCTTTGTTTATAATACTTGTGAATGTATATATCCTTCTCCCAAATATACACCCCTATATTTCAGAATATTATATATCCTAAGGAGTTTGGGTTTGTGTATATTTCAGGACACATGATTTAATTTAGATAATTTCAAGCACTAAGCTTATTTTGTAATAGAATATGTAATTTTGAGATTTTTTTTGTCTTTCTGAGGTATATTTAAATATGCATTTATGGCTCAGAGGAAGTAAAATATATAGTTCTTAGCCCATTTTAATGTTTTTTTTATGGTAACTTAACATTATATTTTATTAGTTAAATGACACTCTTTTAAAAGTGATTGTTCCTTATTCAACCATAAAAAATGAGGAAATCCTGCCATTTACAACATGGATGGACCTTGAAGACATTATGCTAAGTGAGATAAGTCAGAGATAAATACTGTATGATTTCACTTATATGTGCCATCTAAAAAAAAGAAAAAACCCAAACTTTTTTTTTTTTTTTTAAATTTTTTTTTTTATTATTATTTATTTATGATAGTCACACACAGAGAGAGAGAGAGAGAGAGAGGCAGAGACACAGGCAGAGGGAGAAGCAGGCTCCATGCACCGGGAGCCTGATGTGGGATTCGATCCCGGGTCTCCAGGATCGCGCCCCGGGCCAAAGGCAGGCGCCAAACCGCTGCGCCACCCAGGGATCCCGAAAAAACCCAAACTTATAGAAAAAGAGGTCAGACTTACAGCTACCAGAGGCAGAAGATGGGGAAGGGTGAATTGGAGGAGGGTGGTCAAAAGTACAAACTTCCAGTTACTAGATGAATAAGTTCTAGGGATGTAGTATACAACACGACTATAGTTAACACTGCTGTTCAATGTATAGTAAAGTTTTTAGGAGTAAATCTTAAGAGTTTTTACATAAGAAAAAGTTTTTTCTTTATTTTTTTTATCTGTATGAGATGATGGATGTTAGCAGAACCTGCTGTGGTAAATCATTTCACAATATATGTAATTCAGACCATCATGCTCTATGCCTTTAACTTTTACAGTGATACGTACCAATTGCTTCTCAATAAAACTGGAAAAAATGATTTTCTTTGTCCTATTGTTAATGACATATATAAAAGGCATTTGTGTGCATATTTGGATTTTTGTATTTGGTGTCAAATCAGTTTTAATTTATGCTTTTTAGAGAATCTTCAAAGGAATTTTTTAACTAATAAAGGTGTTTATTGTAAAAAAAAAATGGCAAAAAACCAAAGAAAATAATGGTCACCTAAAATTTACTATGCATTTGCATTTTGTTAAAATTATGGTGTGTTTATAATTTCTTACATGTGTTGCCAATTAGTATTTTTCATGTCACTAAGCCTTACTGACTTCTAATGACTACATGGAACTATATAAGTCTTATAATGAATTTAGTCAGTTATCTGCTGAGCTATCATTTATTTATAACTTGTTTACTATAAATTTCTTTGTATAAGAATCTATCCACTGTTTTCTGTTTTGAAGTTGTATTTTATGTCATACTGTATATAATTTAAGTGCTCTGTCATTTTTCAAAAACCTCTTTTTTTAAAAAAAGAATTATTTATTTGACAGGGCGTACAAGCAGGGGGAGCAGCAGGCAGAGGGAGAAAAAGGAGCAGGCTCCCTGCTGAACCAGAAACCCTGTGTGAGGCTGGATCCCAGAACTCTGGGATCATGACCCGAGCTGAAGACAGACACTTAACCCATTGAGCCACCCAGGCGCCACCCCTCCCCGCAAAAATTATCTGATTCTTGTTTGCTGCATACCATAATTCCTATAGTAAATCAAGAAATATTAATTTGATGTTTCTTAAATACATTTGTAGGTAGTTTGCTTGGTGGTAGGTCAATGAAATCCTTACCCTCAAGTTAGCTTTTTAAACTATTAAAAATTTTGACTTATTTTTCAAAAACCATAATTCCTGGAAAATATGAATATTTTAAAAAGCCGTACTCATAATATTTAATATTTCCCCTGAAAATTAATAGGATGAGAAAGAGTCCTCAGATATCTAAGTGTTTTTGAGAGAAGTAAAGCTATTTATTTTAGCACAACTGTAAAGGTAATGAGGACTGTAACTTTCACTTTAGGAAAGTAAGGAATATTTCATTTTGAGGCTTTTAGTAGTTTATCTTGTTTTATTTCATATTTGTTTTACAAGGGAAATTTACTTTATTGTCTGAAAATATGTATGCTCACCTAATGCCATCATAACTGGTTAAATTCATTGGCAGAATAAAGTTTTTGAAAAATATGGTGGATAAGTAGTTTGATCATAGGGTTTATTATATGAGTTACTGAGTTTTTTTAATGGACAAACTTTTACTTTATATTCTATTACTTCATAAAAAAATAGGTACATTTTATTCACTAAAGGGTCCTATAAATTAAACCATATGTAGCAAGATCTATGGGAAAATTAAATTGAGGTATTAAGAAATATTCCCTCTCTGCTTCAGTTGAAAAAGCAATTCCTTTAATCTCTTCTGTCTTTCATTGGGTGAGGGACTGCCTGAATTCAAAACCAATGACTGGTTGGGTGGCCTTAACAAGTTACATAATTTCTTTTTCCCCTTCCCCCTCTCCTTTCTCCTCCCTGCCTTTTGCAACAGTTATGATTTTTTTAAACTTTTTATTTTTATTTTTATTTTATTTATTTATTTTTAAACTTTTTTTTTTAATTTAGAATTACAGAGAAGCTGCAAAATAGTACCAAGATTCTTGTATGTTTTTCACACAATTTCCTCTAATGTTAACATCTTACGTGACCATTTATACAGCTATTGAATTAATGATGTTACAATACCATTAACTAAACTACAGGCCTTATTCAAATCTTACCAGTTTTCTCACCAGTGTCCTTGTACCAGAATCCCATGCTGCATTTAGTGCCCTGTCTCCTCCAATATATGATGGTTATTTAGTTAGGTGTTTTGTTTTGTTTTGTGTGTCTTTTATGACCTTCACAGTTTTGAAGATGACTGCTCAATTATTTTGTAGACTCTCAATTTAGATATGATGTTTTCTTAATCTGACTGAAGTTATGCATATTTACATGTATTTGACAAGACTACCACAAAAAGGATGATGTATTCTTCTCAGTGCATCATATCAGAGGTACATGATGTTGGTATGTCTGATTACTGTTGATACTAACTTTGATTATGTGGCTAAGGAGGTGTTTCCAGGTTTCTGTACCATAAAGTTGCTATTTTCTACTTGGTAATTGATAAATATCTTAGGAGAACTACTTAAAACTAAGTAACCTCCTCAAACAAGATATTTAATGTTTTGAATCTTATTTTCCTCATCTAGAAAATGGGTTGTAAGGATTCAGTGAAATTTCATGTAAAGTGGTATTTAGCATAATTTCTATTGCATACTAAATGTTTAATGAATGTTAGCTAACATAATTGTAGAGTATCTTTTTTAAAAAAGATTTATTTATTTGAGAGGGAGAGAGTACCTTTGGGCAAGCAGGGGG